CCCACAGCCCATGGCCTAGGTATGAGAATTGCTCTTTAGTTACACCATCAGAAAAGGCACATGGCGAACAGCCAGTTAGCAACAAAGGTCACTTCTAACCATGCAGCTCTGCTTCATGGTGGACCCTTAACCTAATTAAGCCAACTCTCCGTTACAGAATAGCACAAATAACACATACTCTATCACAAACTAGCAAACACTGACATTAAAAACACAAAACACATCCCTTTGATGGAGGGAGGCGGGCAGCATTATGAATTCTTCATATTTCAGTCACTGTTCTTACCATGGGCGGCACGGTGGCCCGGTGGGTAGCACTGTCGCCTCACAGCAAGAATGGCCTGGGTTTGATTCCCGGCCGGGCGACCAGGGTCATTTCTGTGTGGAGTTGGCATGTTCTCCCCGTGTCTGCGTGGGTTTCCTCCGGGTTCTCCGGTTTCCTCCCACAGTCCAAGACCATGCAGTCAGGCCAATTGGACACACTGAATTGCCCCTAGGTGTGAGTGTGTGTGTGAATGTGTATGTCTGTCTGCCCTGCAATGGACTGGCGACCTGTCCGGGGTGTGTCCTGCCTTCCGCCCAGTGTCGGCTGGGATGGGCTCCAGTGCCCCTCCGCGACCCAGAAGGATAAGCGGTTTAGATGGTGTGTGTGTGTGTGTGTGTGTGTGTGTTCTTACCATTGTGTGTGGTCATTGATTACACCTATGTGCCTATGCTGATAAGGCGAGTCACACATTGACTAAAAGGGGGGACTTTTATGTTCTTGTGTATCACTCGTGATGCTGTGGCAGCCTACCCATCTCTATGGTCGCCTGTACAGCAGTTGGAGCTGATGTGATTCTACATTTAAACTGCTAAGTGAAAGGTAAAGATAATCTATTGAGGCTTCAGTTAAGGGAAAAATGCTATCTATGTTTTTTGAGGTTTATTACAAATAACCCTTTACACAAGCTGGGCAGCGAGCAAGGCTACCGAGTGCAATGCTGTTTAACTGGCTAGTCACTGTTGTGGATATATAGGCTTAATCAGTGCAAATGCATCTTAATGAGTTATTCATGTTGGGAGCTTCACAGTTTAGATGTTTATCACAAAGTAAAATTATGCTGAGTACATCTGCATAGCAACAGCCTTTATGTTACTGCAGTTTATTTAGAGTGTATATATAAATGTGGTGTTGATGTGCATGTACCTTTTCTTTGTGTTGTTTCAGAAACTGCTACCATTATCTGTATAAGTGCATATATGTGAATGTACAGTTGCGACCACTTCAATTGTTACAATACTTTCTACAAATCTGCATGCCATGCCTCTAGGGCCCCCTCTGCAATCCAGAGTAAGTGGCAGCTGCCACATTATTATAGGTGTTTTATATCAAGTTTCTTGGGAATAATGATTAAATGGTAAATGATCTAGTGTCATAATGAAATAATGATGTACATGTTTTTTCCTGGATCGGGGCCTTGCAAGGGTGGAAGGCCTTGTGTGGTCTAAGGATCTTCAGAGCTAAGGGAGGTTGAGAGGTACCAACTATATTTAGTCGGGCTCATGTCCACCCACAGTGTTGGTTCTGGAACCTAACTGCTTGATAGGGGTGGGTCCCTCTCCTACTCAAGGGTTGCACAGGGTGAGAGGTGCTGGGCCCCTGTGGGGATACTCACAAGTGCAGTTGGAGTTTGTCCTGGTGGACGAAAGGGTCACCTCAATGCAAATTAAAATTGCAGAGTGGAAAACTCTGACTGTTGTGTGTGCTTATGCACCAAACAACAGGTCAGAGAATGTCTGAATGGACCCTGTTCAAAACCTCCATTGTGGAAGCTGCCAGGCGTAGCTGTGGCCAAAAGCTTGTTGGTACCTGTCAGGGCGGCAACCAAAAAAACTCCCTGGTGGACACCGGTGGTGAGGGAGGCCGTCAAGCTGAAGAATGAGGCCTTCAGGGACTGGATGGCATAGAGGACTCCTGCCTCAGCAGATAGGTACCGACAAGCAAAAAAAGTGGCAACGGTGGCGGAATCAAAATCCAGGGCATAGGAGGAGTTCAGTGAGGCCATGGAAAAAGATTTTTGGGCAGCCTCAAGGAGGTTCAGGACAACTGCACCGCGACTCAGGAGCGGTCGGGGTGGCTTCACCCAAGCTGTATTTGGCAGGGGCAGAGAAAATCTGACTTCAAATGAGGATATTGTCAGTCGGTGGAAGGAGCACTTTGAGGAACTCCTTAATCCGAGAGACATGCCTCCCTCACGGGAGACAGGGCCAGAGGCTTCTGGAGTGCCAGATTAAATTTCCCTGGTGGAGGTCAACGAGGTAGGTGCAAAGCTCCTCAATGGCGAGGCACCCGGGGTGGATGAGAATCGTCTGGAAATGCTTAAGGCTCTGGATGTTGTGGGGCTGTTTTGGCTGACACGCCTTTGCACGATTGCATGGACCTCGGGAACAGTACCCCTGGACTGGCAGGCCAGGGTGGTGGTCCCTATTTTTAAGAAAGGGGACCGGAGGGTGTGTGCCAACTACCAGAGTATCACACTGCTCAGCCTCCCTGGGAAAGTTTATGCCAAGGTGCTGGAAAGGAGATTGAACCTCAGATTGAGGAGGAACAATGCGGATTTTGTCCTGGCTGTGGAACAATGGTCTAACATTTCACCATCTCATGGATTGATGCGGTGGCTTGTGAGTTTGCCAACCCAGTCTACATGTGTTTTGTAGACTTGGAGAAGGCTTATGACCATGTTCTCTGAGATATCTTGTGGGAGGCTGTCCGTAAGTATGGGGTGCTGGGGCAACTACTCCGGGCCTTTCAGTACCTGTACTCCCGGAGTGAGAGCTGTATTCATATACTTGGCATTAAGTCAAGCTTTTTCACTGTTAGCATTGGACTCTGCCAAGGTTGTGCCTTGTCTCCACTCCTGTTTGTGATATTCATGGACAGGATGTCAAGGCGTAGCCGAGGTCAGGAGGGGATTATATGTGGAGGCTGGAGGGTGGCATCTATGCTTTTTACAGATGATGTTCTTTTGGCTGGATTGCATGGAAGCCTTCAGCGCTTACTGGACCAGTTTGCAGCTGAGTGTGAAGCAGTTGTACCAGGCACGGCCTACTGGGACGAGACCCCAGGGTCATCTTAGGACCTACTGGAGGGATTATATCTCCAAGTTGGCCTGAGAGTGGCTGGGGGTCTCTGGGAATAAGCTGGAGGAATTTGCAGGGGACAGGATCGTCTGGGATTCTCTGGTTTCCCAGCTGCTACCGTGACCCTATCTGGATTAGGTGGTTAATGATGATGAATGATTGAATGTTTTTTCAACAAATTAGTTTTATATTTTTACAAACAGTGATTCTAAACTTTTGAACCGTAGAATATGCACACTCACAATACAGCTGTGATAAATAAAAATGTAATTGTATTTTTGACCTGTATTCTGAATCTTCAATCTTGAGCTGGAAAGATGGTCATGGATATGCCTCAAGGTAGAGGTCTGCACTGGACTGATGTTTTTAGTCATGCTCTTGTCCACTCATACAAGACTTTATCCTGCTCCAGCAGAAAATCTGCACCATTTGCCCACAACCTAAATGGTTTGTCCCGCTCCCACCTGCAGTTCTGGATAACAGTTTTTTTTATCTGCGTTAGTCACCAGGGGGACAGGAAATGGAGGTACTACGGGTGTGGCAGCACCCCCAGAGTTCATTCAGCATTGGTTACCTGTAACTGGTAAAAATAATAATAAGGGATCTAGACTTGAAACTAAATTGAACATAGTAAAGCCCTATGCTGGCACTGTTTACCATAACAATGTTATTTCCTTTCATGTCAGGCATATATTGCTTTCAGCACCCCCAACTTAAAACATCTTCCCCTGGTCCTATTCATATACATTTTTGTATAAATTTGACAAGAAGAGCAGAAACTGTTTGTAGCATTTGGCTCAAATAATGCTGAAAAACATGTTCTGGCTACTGTGAATGCACGTATCTCCACAACGGGTGTCTCTGGAAACCACACAGATGCTATACCATACAGATGGATCCAGAGGTGACAATTTCTTTGTGGCTTTGGTGATGGAGAGAAAACAACACCCTCCACTCTGCCTAGAGATCATGTAATGCTTTCAAGTGATTTTCAGGGACATAATCAAAAAGTCAAGCTATTATAGACATTCTTCACAGAAAATGTGTGTGTATGCAAGCTCTCGATGCTAAGTATCTTTCAGCTGGAATCACTAAAGACTGGAAGAAAATTTTCAAGAGCTTTCTTCTGGTTGCTCCACTTCAGAACTTTTTCTAAATATAAACACAAAATCCACTGATGTGATGCTGACAAACTTTATTCAAAGAACTTCATCCAGCAAGAATCTTTTTTTTATTCCATCTGGATAACAGGAGCTTCAAGAGGATAACAATAAAATGCATGAAGTGGCAATGAAAAAAAGCAGAAGAAACAATGTTAAAGAAAAATCAAAGCAAATAATACCAAAGCTAAACCATTTAAACTGTCAAATGATCAATACACCAGTGCACTAAACATTATCTTCAATACACTGTTTATTTGGCCAATTAAATACATTCTATTCAAACTCTCTACTGAAATCTGTGATTTTAGACATGAAATCTATGGTTTCTTAGATGAAACATATTATTCTTTATATATCCTCCAAATTTACTAACTACTTAAGATTACCAGTAGTAGCATAACAAAACATTTGGCCCACGAATCAAGTCAATTCTTGATACTGTGTTTGCGATTTAATATTTTATATTTTGAACAAAATTTGAAGAATAAAGAAAAATGCAAACTCTAACTACAGTTGTATGCAAAAAGTTGAGGCACCCGGGTCAAATGACATGTTTTGGTGATTTTCAAGTGAAAGTAAGTCACATCCTTTACAGGGAGCACACTTCTGCCTATTTTAATGCACAATCATTGTTTGATTTGCTGAATTTAATACATTGGAAAAAAATTAAACATAAAATATGTCATGTGAAAAAGTAATTTCATGGGGTTTTTCCCCAAAATTTTTACCCCTCAAAACTCAGCAAGTACATATAAATTGTGCATTAAAAATTGACATTTAAGTTTGTTTCCTATAGAGGATGTGTTGACTTATTTTTTGGATTGTGATAAAACCATAATTTGCCAGCGTTAATCAGCGTTAATAACAGTTACATTAAAGCTTCTTTTTCACTGCATGGTACCAGCTCAACTTGACTCTACTTGCTTTTTTTGGTTTTCCACTAGGCAAATCTGGTACCTGGTACCTGATACCAGGTACAATTTTTTCTCTGTCGAGGTTCCAAGTGAGCTGAACTGATACCAGAAGGTGATGTAAAAAAACTAGTGACTACAGATTGGTTGGAGAGAATTGCTAAACATATATGCTAATGCTAGCAACCACATTAGCGTATTCTTGCATCACCACTGAGCAACCAGAATTGTCTCGTTGTCTGAGCTCTGATGTACTATTTCATAAACTCTCCTAGAATTTTATCTTGGTACCATCAGCCTCTTCTGAACAACATTTTGTCTTCACGTATTGGCAGTTTCATGTGGTGACCAGCTACATTGAGGGTGTACTGTATCTGCAGTGGAAAACAAAGTAGCTTGTACCAAAAACAAGTTTAGTCGAGTCAAGCTGTACCATGCAGTGGAAAATTGGCTTATCTATATATTATCTATTTTGTCTCCATAGGGCAGATTCTTGATAACCTAGAATGATATTTTTTGTACAAATTAAAATAACCTGAGACCACGATCTTTCTGCAGATATATGCTGTGCCATTAAAACCTAACCAGTGTATAAAGTTTCACTGCAATGTTATATCACTGTTGTCAGAACAAAACCTTGTATCTCCAAAATGGTAACTTTACAGGAGAAGGAAAAAACATACTTTACTTTTAATGTAAGTCAGTGAACCAGACTGTTTTCTAAATAGTTTTAGGCTGTTTCTTTTGGTTCATTCATCATGAAATTTACACATAAAGTAAAGGGCGACAGGCATTTTCAAATTATGTCAAAAACTGAATAAATTACAAACATTGAGATATGAGGTTTTCTCCTAACAGCAGTGATATGCTTACCTTAAAGAGAGGTGAAATAAGAGTCATTCTATATTGTAAGCATAAAGCCTGGATTAATACCCTGTCCCTGAACTTGAGTCATTTTTCAATAGGAGAAAGCAAAGAACATTCACATTATACTTGAAAATTTGAGGAGAGATGCACAAGTTTTTCAAATGCTACAGAAGCAACTGCATGAGTTACGTTGACAGAAGTTGGTTATTTTGTGATGTGCAATCTTTCATCAAATTAGGAAAACTTTATTTGTGTACCTTTAACTCTCAGCTTGATAAACCATCAAACAGCAGACACCTGAAAGACTGGATTATTATCTAAAACCTCATTACCTACACCGATCAGGAATGACATTATGATAACCTCTTTGTTTCTGTGAGGATCCATGGGGGTCCTGACCACTGAAGAACAGTTTAAAAGGGGGCTAACAAAGTATACAGAGAAACAGATGGACTACAGTCTGTAATTGTAGAACTACAAAGTGCACCTATATATAATTTGAGTTGATAAAATGGACAATGAGAGTAGAAACAAGGAGGAGGTCATAATGTTATGCAGAACAATATCATCATTTTGATATTGAAATACAACATAAAGAAAAAACAAACTTAATGGAGATGATTAATATCCTCAAATATGGGCAGGCATGGTGACCTTCATATTAACATTGTCCACCTGGTGGAAAGAAAAAATACTTTTAAAATTGATATGTATATGCCATTTTTAATGGATGATGTAATGAATGTGCTTTTATCCAGAGCTGTTGCCAAAAAGTACATGAACAAAAATGACTTACTTCAATGAGGCCAAAGGTGGTCATGAAAATGTCTCCATGGATATGAAGCGCAGACACACTCTCCACTGGCATACGGTGCCAGAACATACAGTAAACGTACCCATTCACGATTACCTGAAGGAAATAAAGCAAAACTGTTTGTGTAACAATTTACTTATTTTTACTTAAGTTGTTAATTCACTTATTTTACTTCTTCAGTCTATGTACCTCATAGCCTTCTGGTTTAACAACCATGAACAAATCAAAGCCTCCTCCTTTCACAAATGGACCCCCTGAGGTCTCTTCTGGATTCTCCCACTGCCCATTTCTGAAGCTGTTGCGCACAACAGAGGGTGTCCCAACGCGGGGGTTGAAGTGTAATGCAATGTCATCTCCGTCCCTTTGCCCAGTCTTCAGATTTATTGCGAAGCTGCAAGCAACACAAAAAAGTAATATTTGAAACTAAATTATATTTTGAAATTCCTGTAAATGGCTATTCCAGAATGTAAATCTCTGTTTGTCTGTTTAATATACACCGATGAACCAAAAAATAGTGAACACTTACAGATGAAGCAAATAAGGTTAATTATTTTGTGTCAAAACCAAAGGTGAGCGAACAGTTGGTTCTTGTAGTCGATGTGTTAGATGCGGTAGATTGGGCAGCAGTAAAGATCTGAGCAACTCTAACAAGGACCAAATCATTATGACCAAGAAGACACCCTCGGAGCATCTCTGAAACGGCAAGGCTAGTTGGGTGTTCCTGATCAGCAAAGGGGAGTACCTGCCCACAGTGGTTCGAGGAGGGACAAACCAACGACACCCAAGGCTCATTGATGTGCAAGGGCAACAAATGCTATCTTCTCTGGTCCAAACTGACAGAAAGGATAGTGTGACACAAGTCCCGAGTGGTGCAACCGTCTAAGCGTTGGCCCTTTTATCAGGAGTTCCATCCCTGATGATGCTACAGACATCTGTGGCCAGGAGTCCAAGAAAGCACAATTGGCCTTGCCCTCTGGGTGGGTAGGAATGCCTTCCCCCCATCACTCAATGAGATGCTAGTCAGCGTGGGTGTCTATTAGCTGACATAATAGAACTGGTGGTTGGCGCTTTCAGCTGTCCAATGACGTTGCGTGAGTGATCGAGAAGATGCGGTGGCACTTCACAGGTCTCGGAGGAAGCTTGTGTCAGCCTTCACCCTCCTAGCATTGGTAGTATTGTGTGATTGGGGGAGTCCTAACTAGTGGGTGGAATTGAAGATGATTTCATTGGGGATAAAAGAAAATTGGGTAAAAATTAACTTTAACTGTGTTTATAAGGGTTTTGGCTCATCGTATATATATATATATATATATATATATATATATATATATATTATATATTATATATATATATATTGTGCCGGTATTGGAGCGGAAAGACTACTGAAAATCCCTACTTAAGTAAAAGTACTGTTACTGTACTTGACAATGAGAATTGAATTGAATTGAGTACAAGTAAAAGTATACTGTGTACTGTTGTTGTAGCTGGGAGTTGCTGTGTTTTGATTGGTGAATCTTTTAAATTCAACTGGGCTTTCTTCTAATTGGTTTATAAGCTGATAAGCTCATAATATATTTTTACTCTAACATCATTAAACATTAAATTAACAAAGTAGAAGTGTTTCCTTATAAATTAAATGTGAGTAGAAGTACTGTGATTAAATTTTACTCCAAAAAGTACCATTACAGGGAAAAATGTACTCGAGTACAGCAACAAGAGTCAATGTAATTTTTTACTTTCCACCTCTGACCAGTATCATGAGAACGTACCTATTGGCATCTGAAGGAACAACACCTCGGAAGAACAAAGCCAGTCCTAGTTTCAGCCCTCCAATGAGTGGTCCCACAAAAGGTATGCTCTGTGGTGATCATAAGCATTGTAGGTGTAGGCAAAGAATAACTGCAAATCCTTAGATTAAAAAAAAAAATACTTCTTCTCATTCACATACTTAGCATAATTAACTTAGCATAATTCACTTAGCATAATTAATACAAAAAACATTTTTTGCCTTTTAAACCATTTTCAAGTGCCATGTTACTTACAGGGTTGCAGACTGGATATGGCACTCCTAACTGGATCTGGGAAAACTTCCCACGTGAGACTCCTGGGCTTTGTTCCTTACCAAAAGTGGATGTGCTCCAGTTCTGAGCAAAGAGTAGACAAAGTATGGTAATGAAGGAAACTTATTATGCATTTTACCCCCAAAAAATCCCTGGTTGCTCTGGATTACAAAGATGTTAGGAAGTTGAAAAAGTACTTTTTGATTTCTTTGGTGGTCCACTGGTACCTGCTGCATTCTACCATGTTTTGTAGCATCATATAATGTTATTGTATTTATATTTATTTGGTTATTCTAAATGATGTGGTACGTTACAGAAAAATATAATACAATAGCCACACGATGCTCTGAGTTGCTGTGTTTTTATTACTGGTGGGGGGTGTTTTTTATGATCAGGGGGCTTATTGCCAACAACATAAAACATGATACAATGCACAAATTCTCAAAAAATAATATACGTTATAATTAACTTCCAGTTAATTCATTATAGTATCCAATTTATGAACTTTCATTTTTAGTTTTTTTTTGCCTTACAAGTAGATTTTGCTCAGCAAATTACAACTGCAACAATAATGTTAACTTGTACTGGCACCTAGTCCTAGTGGAATTTCCTGTGTTGTGTCGGCAAGAGACTAAATGGTTTAGTCTTTTAGCCTATTTTTTGAGAAAAATGTTGTCAGCTTATCTCACCTCAGTTTAAACAAAAGAGGCTTCTTGCTTCATTTATATGTTTAGTGGTCAATGTGAGCAGAAACAGTCCATTCACAGCAGCGTGGCCCAGCCAATCAGATTTTATCCATTTAGCACTGAGAAACTGACTTACTGCTACATAACCAATGGTGTTCATGAAGACATCTCCTTTGATGTTAAGTATGGTCACTTTCTCAATTGGCATTCGGTGCTTGAAGAAGCAATTCTTCTGGCCGTTTACATATGCCTGGAAAGAAAATATAATAGTCTTATTTTTGATGTTCATAAATCCTTTTGTTTATTTACATTATTTATTAATTTTTTTTTACCACATACTTAATTAATCCCCATACCTCGTAGCCGTCTGTTTTGACAACAATGAAGATATCAAAGGCTGATCCCCTCGCTAAGGGACACCCTTGAGACTCTTCTGGACTCTCCCACTTTCCGTTTCTGAAGCTGTCACGAACAGTTGAGTTGTTGACACGGGGGTTGAAGTGAAAAGCAATGTCATCGCCATCTTTCGGTCCTAGCTTATGATTTATGACGAACCTGTATGGGATGCAAAAAAATGCTCATTTCAAAGAAGAGTAGTTATATATAAAATACATAAAGTATTTTGTGTTATACATATTAGAAATTCATACTCATTGGCATCTGGATTAACAACCCCTTGGAAGTACAGAGCCATTCCTGGTCTCAGCCCTCCAGAAATTGGGCCTACATAAGGAGTGCGCTGTAAAGAAATGGTTCATTAGTTCAACCTAGCAAATGAACAACAAACAATTTAACTAGTTTTATTCAACTCAAATAAATACTTTGAATGAAACAATGCAAAGCAAATGTTTAGTTTAGATGGGCAAAAGCAATATTTTACGTTAATTCAAACCAAAAAAAACAGAGTGCTGATTTAATGTAAATGCATGATTTAAAAATTTACATAGAGACATGGAATAAAGCTGTTAAAAGGTCATAGCTCTTTGCCCAATATCCCTAAATAAAACCAAGGTCAATGTAGAGGTGAGTTAGGCCAAAAGGCTGTGAAAGTATCCATTTGGTTATCTAAGTCTGCTAAAGAAGTTATAATAAATCCTCTGTTTGTACTGGACTTAACACATTTACTGTATAGTGATAGTTTGCCAGTGTAACTAAAAAGCCAACTACATTATAAATCCATACATCCTATAAAATTATTGAGCTCTACAGTTTTTATCAGTGGATTTAAAGCTATATGGAGCAGTAGAATCATATTCTTTGGAGGGATGAAACACCACTGAACACCTTTGAGATGAGATGGAATGATCTAGAACTAAGCTTCGAGCATCAGTACCTGACCCCTCTAATGCTCTTGTGGAGATGGGTTCTATCATGCCCTCACGCATAACCGCCTTTCAGAGATTTGCTTCTCCGGAATACTGATGGTTGGTCTCTGCCCATTTTACATACCTGATTCATGTTTCCTACTTAGCCTACTTAAAGTTAGTTAAAAGTCCTTGTGTACAAGACGTGTCCTTCTCAACAAAATTTAAATAAGGAAGCTAATACAACGCAGTATCAAAGTGAATTGATGTGTAGGTGTACATTTGATGCAGGTGTTGACAGGGCCAAATTTGATATAGGTGTTGACAGGGCCAAAATGGCAGCATCGTTGACATGCCTTGCTGAACCCATCTATGTATGTATGGGGTGTCCAGTCTTATCTGCCAGTGTGGCTGCATGTTTTATTCCAACCATGCATGTGCTCACCCTATCAAATGTTTGAAGACTGAGACCAATTGATTAAACAAGTGCAAAAAGATTTTCTCCTGCTTGTTTGGAATGAAAACCTGCAGCCGCATCGGCCCTTTGTGAATAAGATTGGACATGCCTGATAAATGTATACCTATGGCTTCAACCTCTTCCTTGTTTTTTATAACGCTCAGTGGCTAGAAGACTTCCCTGGTTTGAATAATGAAAACACGGTTTCCAGAATCTTTTTGCTGTAAACTGGCCTGCATTAATATTGCCAGGTCTCAAATATTTTTGTCTGCACTAAACATCTTTTAAAGACAGTTACCTCCTAAATAATAATAAATAATGATTTCAAATGTTTTCCTCTGCATGCTTTTACATTTTCCTTTGGACTGCAAAAGTTTTCAGTCTGTTAATACAAGTGTTTCAGATGCTACCAGACAGCCTGAGCTAACATGTTTGACATAGTAGCTAAAGGAGGCAGTTTAGAATTTTGCAAATGATCAGATTATGTTCACTGAAGTTGTTACACTCTTGAGCCACACTTTAATTGAAACTACTCACAATATCGCTGAGCTGAGTTGAAACTTCTGACGTGATGGTTGACAGACTCCACCGTGAGACGCCCAAGTTGGTCATTATTTTCTTCCTTAGTTCATTAAAAAGGGAGGAAGAGGTCCAGTTCTGTATGGAATGCAAACATAGGATATTATAGATTTTTCAGTGACTTAAACTTGATATTCTGATTTATTTTTGATAACTACCATGAGATTAAAAAAAAAAATCTCTTGATTTGATTTCTTTAGAGGCCCCACAAGTGCATATACATTGTTTTTGTTGTTGTTGTTGTTGTTGTTGTTGTTGTTTCCAGACAAATCTAGAAAGCAAAAAATTAACCCTTACTTTTGTTTTGCATCACCTCTTATTTTAAATACACTCCATGACTTGCACATCTGTGAAGGCACCATTAATGCTGAATGATATATACAGGTTTTGGCACCACATGCTGTCATCCAGATGACATCTTTTTCAGGGAAGCCCTTGCTTATTTCCAGTGGTGGACGAAGTACACAAATCATGTACTTGAGTTAAAGTAGTACTCCAGTAAAAGTAGAAGTCCTCCCTTTAGACCTCCACTTGAGTAAAAGTACAAAAGTATTTGCCTTCAAATGTACTTAAGTATCAAAAGTAAAAGTTCTACAAGATTAATTATGACTCTAATGTCCTATTTTTGTAACAAGGCTCTTGCTTCATTAACTCATTTTAGGTGAAAATACTCTAGTGTCACTCTTGGTTACCAGTCTTTTTAATCATATGTCAATAATTAGTCTGACACTAATTAAAATTGTCTATTAAAATGATCATAAGCACAAGGTAACTGAAGGCAAACAATTTCCATTAGGTAGAACCGAGTGGCTCTGAAATAACTTTTTGCAAGTTTAAGGTTTATTTGCAACTTAGTTACAAGTGTAAGTTTAATAAACACTTTAAATACAGGTTCACAAATGAGTTTTGCTTTACTATATTGCATCTCTGTTCATAAACATAAACTAGCCAAAACAAATTTACAATAAAATAAAACAGAGTTTGCATAATTTCAGAAATAGACTCTCCCAAAATTTTACACTGCTGCATTGACGTTGAACCGTATGCTTAAACTGGGTCGGTATGTCCAACAGTATCAAAACAAGCTCAAAACTAAGTGCACGCTGTGCCCTGATTGGTGTTCTTGATTTGCGTTTCTTTTGTTTTGACATGTTACATTTTTATGCACACATAAGCCAAAAGAAATGACAGATTTTGCATAATGTAGTGGAGTAAAAAGAAAGATATTTGACTTTGAAATGTAGTAGTGTGAAAGTAAAGTCGCCCAAAATGGAAATACTTCAGTAAAGTACAGATACACAAAAAAAACTTCTTAAGTACAGTAACGAGTTACATTTACTTAGTTACTGTCCACCACTGCTTATTTCATCAAGACAATGTAAAACCACGTTCTGCATATATTACAACTGCATGGCTACATAGTAAAGTCCAGGGGCTAAACTGGCCTGCCTGTAGCTCACACCTGTCAACACTGAAAACATTTGGCACACTTACAGAGTGTTAAAATAACAGGTGGTGCAAAACAAGTAAACATGCCAATGACCCAACTTTTTTGGAAGGTGTTGCTGGCACCAATTGCGAAATGGGCATGTATTTGTAATAACATTTTTCAGTTTTTCAAATTTGATATATTGTCTTTGCGCTGTTCTGAATTAAATATAGGGTTTGTGATTTGCGTATTTTTTTCTACATTTTCTACAGCATCCCAACTTTCTTGGAAAGGGGTGGTAAACAAGGCAGGTGAGGATCCCCAAAAAATTTGGGCCCACAAATATTCAGAAATGGCATGACCAAGTTTAACTGATTTTGCTCAGATTTTACCAAAGCCTACAGGCTAATATTAAAAGTCATGCAAAATCTTGTAAATGACAATAGTTAGAAAAGTAAGAAATTCTGCACTGACCCACGACTTGCCCACTGGAACGGTGACTTTCCCTTGGAGGGAGAACTGGACAGATTCACTGGCTTCACTCACTCCCACATCACTGACCGCTCTGTACCGGACCCAGTATTGGTTGGCCAGCTGCAGTCCAGTTAAAGTGAAGGTTTCCTTTGCATCTGGAGTGTCTATGGTCTCCCAAGCGCCACCATCAGCTCTTGAAGCATCGGGCTGTGTTATTCTGTATTCCACTCTGTACTGCCTTGTCACTCCAGTTGGGGACTTCTGAAGCTTCAGAATCACATTCTTATTCTGAATGTCCACGCTGGGAGCAGGAGGCTTGGACACTGGCTGAAAGTGGTCATCCACTGTTTTCTCTTGTTTATACAGGCGGATGGAGATGCCAGGATTGGAGGGGTCTGAGATTGATGAAATGACAAACTTGGCTGTCTTCTTATCCTTATTGGCATTAAAAAAACTTTTGAAGAGGGAAAGGTTCTCTTTCATCTTCTTAGATATTTCAGGATTGCTGAACCAAGGCTTGATGTCTTGGTCACTTGATTTCGGGACTGTTGACTGCTTTTCAAATGGATCTGCTGTCAGGAACTCTGTTATGGTTTGCAGATATCGATCTTCATACTTCACAGAAGTGAAGGAGAAGCATATGACTGTATCCACCATGGGACTGAAGAGGATGCTGTTGAACTGGGCTGCGGATGTGATTATCGGGACTTCACTCAGTTCCCTGGTGTAGGAACTCAGCAGATCTAGTTCACCATTAACATTCTCTAACCACTGCTTTAGCTTGCTAGCCCTAAAGGGGGAGTTGGCATGGGTAGTCAGAATGTCAGCCAGTGAACTCTCTTTTGCCTCCCCACCCCGAATAGCAGGAAGGACACTGGCCAGAGCTTTTTGTAACAACACCTTGTAGATACCAAACGATTCTTGAAATATGTGCAGCCTTTCCCCCACATCCTGGAAATCACTTACTGCTGTGTTCTGAACCAGATCATTGCATCTCCTCTCTGCATCTCCCAGCTCCTCCAACAAGCCTTCGACTTTAGATATGAGCGTTGCTCCGATTTCTCTCTCCAGCTTAGCTGCTTTACTGTCCAAACGTGCCAGGGGATGGAGCCAAACCCTCACAGGCACAGCATCATTCTCCCTCTGCCTCAGCAACGATGGCAGCTTCTTGTATAGCTGCAAGGCTTCCATGTATGTGGTGGGGTTCTCCTCGAGCTCATAGTCACCATAAAATGTACAGCTGATATTATCAGCCAGTTTCTTTTCGGTTTCATTCATCTTTAGAGCTCCTTGCCCCTCTATGGAAAATAAAGGGATCTTCTTAACCATTACCCTTAGGTTTCCCTCAATCTCTTGTTTGTCCTCATTCTCAGAGATTGTTTTGTCAAACACCATGAAGGCCTGACCTCCATACAGTACAGCTGTAACAACATGAGTGGCGGTCTTCTGCTCAAACACCTCAGGGTAGGAGATTTTGCCCAGCTGGGTCATAGTAAGTTGCTCAAATCTTGTTGTCTGGCTATACTGCATAGTAACTCTAGACTGACGGTCTGAGGACTTCTTGTCACGCAAGTATCTGGCTGAGCCTCCAACCTCCACTAAACCACCCAGAAAGCTGGCTTTGAGGGAGGCGCTGATGTCAAGGACACTGGCCTTATCCTGGAGTGAGTCAGAAGCAACAAATTTCAGATCAGTCTTGGGCTGTCGATGCACATCCAAATCCTTGGACAAAGACTGTTTATTCCATAGAGTAACACCTGAAATGAGTGAGAGTCTGGAGCTTATTCTTTGATCACTGGGTCACTTTATTATATGCTTGTCCTGGTTAGTACACTGTAGGTGTACTCTAATCACACTGCACATTCAAACATCTTTAGAAACAAAAAAAAACTACTACTAAAAAAAATACTAACAACTAACATGTTTTTTGTCATTCTGCGCCACATCATTTTGTAAGTTAGTCATTATGTGTCCTAGGAAGTAGCACATGAGGCAATAAGTAAATAACTAAGTTGTGGCCTCTAACTATTTTGTTAGATAAATACATGTGAATGGTCAGAGATGTGGATGTTCCCGTTGAGTTTGCTTGAAGTAAACAATATTTCTTGTAGTACACGACACTATTACCTGGGATGAAAGAATCTCTGCGGCAGTCATACAACATGCCAGGATACAGGGCCCTTCCCAGGGCTGCCATTTCAATCGTTTTAGGCTCCATAACTGTCAAGATAAATAAACAAAGCAATAAATAAAGGAATATTTGGACAGTTCTATCGAATTAAAAAAAAAACAGACATGACCAGAAGCAAAATATGACTTTTTTTGTTATTTTTAATGTGTGATTCTTATTCTTTACGCTCTACGCACTGTCAGGAGTTCAGGAATGCCTCATTGATAGATGTAGATGTATTACAGCAAGTTCAGTCAACACAGTATTGTTTGGTACCCGTAGGGAATTTAGTGTCCATTCCACGCAGCCCAATTTCAACCAAAATTTGGTCACATTTAAGTGACAAATTATACATTATTTACAAACTGGTTTTAATGAAAATGCACCTGCTTCTGTTTTAATGATAATGCAAATATAAATCACAAATAAATGTGGCTCTGTTGATATGATATATGTACACAATCTATTTTTGTATGGGCCGCTTTCATTGATTAATCTGCAACAAAGTACTCATTAGTATAATTAGTGTCATTCATATAATTTGTCACATTGCTTTCCTGAAATGAGGGGACAACATGTAAATGTGCTTTGATGAAAATATGCTCTTCACTTTCCACTACCATCAGATTTTTAAAGGCTGCAGTAGTTGTAGCTTTAATAGCAGCAATAATAGTATAAATGATAATAATAGTATAAATAATAATAATAATAATAATAATAATAACAACAATAATATATTAATACTATATAATATATAATATTAATATACAATATTAAATTAATATAATAATATGGTAATAAGTAGATTTACTTATCTCACCTTGTCTGGAAGTTTCTTTATTGAAGTGCGCAGGCAGATAAATGTAAGTAAGGCTTCTGTTGTTCTGTTGTTGCCAGTTGTTCTTCTCTCCTCTGGAAGAGTCCGATGGCTCTAATGGCTGTACTCGTTATTTTGTCAGACATTTATAGGAAAAAAAGAGGGTGGTACTTCACATTTACATGTACTTAGCATTGGAATTCTGCCACCTGCAGTGTGTGTGTGTGTGTGTGTGTGTGTGTGTGTGTGTGTGTGTTTTATATATATAAGGTGTGTTTATGGGCTTTGGGTGTTTTGGTGTTGAGAGGTGGTCACCGTGAAGTGGGAATGGAGGGCTCATTGTGACCTCCCGTGGTGAATTGGTTTTCTGTATGTGCCCTTCTGTGTAGTTTCTTGTAACAGAATAATTGCTTTATCTGATTCTGACATTACAATACGTTACACTTTTAATCATTGGTACTAGTGGACCTTAAGTTTAGACATGCTTATTATAAAAGAGAGAATAAAGATTTACACATCAACACAATATGCAGCGATTCGGTATTGTTGATTGGGTGTTATAAACTAAACCATAAAAAACAAACAGCGTAAAAGAAAGCGAAAAAAAAACATAGATGATTCTTCAATAGTGCTGTTTTTAAAGTCCTCTGCACATTTCCTTACACCACTGCACGCTCAGTGAACCTGACATATTAAAGCAGTCAGGTTACATTTTAAGTTAATATGATTGTTGTATTAAAGTGGAGCAGATTTGCCGTTTTTACAGAGATTTCAGGCTCTCACACGTACATTCTCTCTCTCTCACTCTGTCTCTCTCTCTCACTCTGTCTCTCTCTCCCTCTCTCTCTCTCTCTCTCTCTCTCGCCCCCCCTCTCTCTCTCTCGCTCACTCTGTCTCTCTCTCTCTCTCTCTCTCGCTCTCTCTCTCTTAATTTTGTCGCAGCGTCAAGACGAGAAAAAGACTGACATGTGTTTGGTTTGTCCCTGTCTACCAGCTATTTTAGCAGGCATGGTAGAGCCCCTCAGGTTTATTAAAGCTGAACAACAAGATCTTAATTTGACACTGCCTATATGGTGTATCTGGATAAATATAATCTTCTTTTATTTAATCATTACTAAGTTTTAATACACCTTAAGAAGTAATCATATACATTATGATAGTAATATTTTTATGCAGTGAATAAGAAGTCACATATTTCACACACACACACACACACACACACACACTTTATAAGCAGCTTATCTTTCTGGGCTGTGGGGGTCACATATTTGATTAATATTCATTTACACATTATTTGCATGAAGGTAGAACTGCTTTGACTAAGTCTGTGTTACAGGGGAAGACACCTGTGGGTGTTCTCATACCCATCAAGAAAAGTTAACTGTCACTGTGGCAGAGTACCCCTCTTACCACTGGAGTGGTACCCTCAAGCATACATCTCAGTACCTTTAGTCAGGGAACATTATTGTGCCATGATCCATTGAAATTATACCCTCTAAGTTGTATTGACTCCACATACCCAGTCTTGTCTCCAGGCTTTTATTTTATTGTTCTGTTTTAAAACATGAGGTTATGTAAAAGGTACCAAATTTTGAAACTGAGAAATTTTATTGTTTTTTGAAAAATATATGCCCATTTTGAATTTGATGCCAACAACACGTTTCAAAAAGTTGGGGCAGGGTCAACAAAAGGCTGGTAAAATTGTGTAAAGCTTAAAAAACACCTCGTTGTTGACTGGCAACAGGTCTGTAACATGAATAGGTATATATATACAAAAAAAAGCATTGCAGAGAGGCTGAGTCTTTCAGAAGTAAAGATGAGGAGGTGTTCAAGACTGCACAATCAAGTAGTGCAACAATTCAAGAATAACGTTTCTCAACATAAAATAGCTTTAGATAGAACTTTTACTTTTAATCATCTACGGTACATAATAACAACATTAAAAGATTCAGAGAATCTGGAGAAATCTCTGAATGCAAGGGACAATACCAAAAACCAGTATTTGCTGGCCGTGATCTTTGGGTCCTGAGGCGTCACTGCATTAAAAACAGACATGATTCTGTAGTGGAAATCACTTCATGGGCCCAGAAACACTTCTGAAAAACACTGTCTATGAAAACAGTTAAAACTCTAGAATGCAAAAAGAAACCATAACAGGATCCAGAAATGCTGCCACCCTCTCTGGGCACAAGCTCATTGAAAACGGACTGAGGGTAAATAGAAAAGTGATATAGGGGTGCATTAGTGCACATGGCATGGGTGACATGCACATCTGTGAAGTCACCATTAATGCTGAACAACACATACATGTTTTAGCAACAAACGCTGCCATCCAGACAACGTCATTTTCAGGCAATGCAAAACCACATTCTGCATGTATTACAACAGCATTGCTCTATATTAAAAGAGTCTGGGTGCTAAATTTGCCTGCCTGAAGTCCAGACCCATCACCACTGATAACATTGGGTACAGTATGAAATGAAAAATATGACAAATGAGCCCCTGAATTGTTGAGCAGCTAAAATCATATTAAGCAATAATGGAAAACATTTTACTTTGAAAACTACAGCAGTCGGTCTCCTCAGTTCCCTAACCCTTACAGTGTGTTGTTAAAAGAAGAGGTAAACGTGCCATAAACAAGCTCCTGTCCTAACTTTTTTGAAATATGTTGTTGCCATCAAATTTAAAATGGGCACGTTTTTTTAAAACAATAAAATTTCTCAGTTTTAACATTTGATTTGTTGTCTTTTTTCTATTTTCAATAAAATATAGGGTTTACATGATTTGCACATCATTACATTTTGTTTTTCTTTACATTTTGCACAGTACAGAACTTTCCATTAAATTCACATCTTAATAAAATATCTCCTCTTCTACTTACAAACACAAATGTGGTATCGGTTGAAAGTTTCAACAGAATTTCTTTGCTTGTTTCAATGAATTATTAATGTGAGAGTTCATATCACATTATAGCATTTATTTTTTGCTGTCAGGAACTGTAACTGCTTAGGGTTAAATAGTACAGCAAAACAGCAACAACATACAAAACAGTAACTGTAGACCTCTAAGGGTTAATGCTCCAGATGTAGTCTCATAGCTCACAAAGTGAGCTGGTTTCCCAGGCATTATTATTGCAAAACCGCATCTGGCAACCAGATTCTGTATGAGTTTGTTCTTAAACCTTTTATTCCTGTGCAGTCACTTTATACTATGGATTTTGTGGTTAGATTTCCTTTTAGCACTGTTCTGAGATCAGTTGTTGATTGTTCTCTATTGGCTCTCTATTGGTAAATTGATGACAAACATGATAATTATGTGGAAAGTTTTATTTCATTAATCTATACTAAAAGAATGTAAAGATGAAGTTCTGCTAGCATCCCTATGGTATCCTAGTAGCAGATGTGGCCTTTGGGAAGTTTGGGATCTTCCTGGTAGGCCGGTCTTGTGAAGGCCAGTCTTTTTTCCCCAATATATATATAATATGTAATATCTATATGTAATAGCAGGTAGCAGTTGCCATCACAGCTGAAAGTATCTAGCACTTGTATCTAGCTAGCACTCATTAAAAGTTTCTAGCACTGGCTTCTGAACATGGATAGAAGGAAAAAACCCGCAGCTGGCGGTGCACAGTAGATGCAGCAAAAGAAGAAAAAAGGCTTTGCTGGCTGACACCATGATGTGTGCTACGACAATGGATTTGTTTATGCACTGTGCAGTTCTTTTCAACGGCTTTTTGGTGAGAACGAAGGAAGTCGTATGTGAGTGCCGTTCTTTTTGTCATTGTGCCAAAATTCAACTGCCTGTCCTAAATTCACTAAACTCCCCACATGAACAGTGAGAACCAGCCAGGCACAAGAGATAGATGTCACATTAGGCTCTTAAAGGCAGAATGAGCAGGATTTGCCAGTAGCTGTTTTGACACACCATTCAAAACTGGCCCCTACGGCACAACGAACGAGAGAGAGAGAAAGAGCAGCAGTGGTTGAGCGAGCTAGAGAGAGAGTGAAGAACAGGATTCATACATTCTGTATGTTTGCTGCATATTAAATATGTTCTACCTGCTTTGCTGTGTAGTTTATATGCTTTGTTCTATTTTATATAAGTGCTGTATATTCTACATGTTTTGCTGTAGGCTGCCTGCTGTAACGTGTCAGAAGTTTAAAATTCCTTTTCACCTACACATTGATAAAGAGGGCTAGGTTACACCCAGGCACCAAAGGTTAACATACATAGAGTAGATTCATACAAAGAAAGTACCACAGTAATGACCAGTAATGCTAGTACGCTAATGATGAACACATGATGGTGGAAGTCAATTAGCATTACACAGATGATGGCACTTAAGGTCAGTTTTACTGTACACACAGACACACACAGGGGTAAACCTGACAGCTAGTCCCCTTGTACGGTGGTCTTGTGACAGAGGCTAACTGAGTGGCACTAACTGAATTGATGACAGTGCGACAGACAGAAATAAAAGTGTCAGGTTTTAGTCAGCCCAGCCTCAGAACCGTCCGGCACTCAAATGGTTAAACTGATTTACCTCCTCATTTAGCCTCATCACACCCTTTCAGAGAACAGCTCGGCAATTTTCACACCACCTAAAAACATCTAATTTTCTCCTTTCCTCCAAATAAAGCCCCCATTCCCAACACCCAGACTAAACATACTCTATACCAGGGATGTCAAGACTTTTTTCAAAGAGCACCAGATCAAACTTTGTCAAAATATCTGGAGGCCAAAATATTCACAAAACATTAAAAATATTAAGTTTTCAAAAACATCAGCGTATAGAATCTGAGCTTTCTGTGAGCTACTGTGTTTCTTATCACTGCCCAGACAGCAAGCATGTTCGGGCCGGATTACTTTGGCCGTCACAAAGTCCTCCTAGCAGTTGCATCTGCGTTGCGGACTTGTGCCACATTTGGGCCAAGTAACTGTTTACAGCGCTAGAAACACTGCCGGTCAGGAAGCGCATTTGGGCCGGATCTTTGAAACAGACGCGCCTTATTTAAAATTTACGCCTCATTTAAAATTTGCCCCTCCCCTTTTTCCCCTTTCAGTCCTCTGCAGTCGTCAGTCGACTATGACTGTAAAACTTGCTGCTGCTTTTGAGGTAAGGCGTATTTTGTCT